GGTGTAGTATCGCCCGCCAACGTCAACTACCGGGAAGTATGCAAGCCGCGCGCGCTGGGGTATTTATCTTGGCATCAGCCACGAGCACAAGGCATGGCTCATTCTGGACCTCATGAGGCAGAAGATGAAGAATGCGCACGATGTCATCTTCTACGAGCGCTCCTTCCTCCATCAATTTTTGGAAGATGAGTAGGCGAACGCGAACCGCGTTTACGCCAATGACGGGCACATCTATGCCACGCCGGAGGACGAAGCTACAGCAGCCATTCTGGAGCAAGACACCACTGGAGAATTCATGCGAGGCAATCGCCACGACGATGACGACGATGATTCGCCTGAAGGAGGAGCGGGCGGAACAGGAGGAAGCGGAAGCGGCGGAGGTGCAGCACCACCAGCACCATCTGAGCCAGAGAGCGACGACGATGACGTGCAGGAAGTCATCCCGCAGCATCGCCACGACGGCACCGTCACTGGAATGCAGCTCCTTGGGCTCCACATCACTACCTCAACGGCGCCACGCATCATCGAGCCGAAGAACCCACGTCAAGCTATTACGGGACCCCACAGCAAGTAGTGGCGTGAGGTGATGGATGCGGAAATCAAGGCATTCGAGTCACGCCACACCTGGGTACTCGTCGATCGAGCAGCAATCAAGGGAAGGAGGATCCTGTCCGGGAAATCGGTCTTCCGCGTAAAGACCGCATCTGACGGCACGATAGAGCGATTTAAGGTGCGCTGGGTCGTACGTGGATACGATAAGAGGCACGGCATCAACTTCAACCAGACATTTGCACCGGTCAGCCGTCACACCTCTGTCATAATACTCCTCGCCATCGCTGCGGCACGACACCTGCCGCTCCGACAAATCGATGTGAAAAACGCGTTCCTATATGCGTTAGTAGATGCAGTGATCTATGTGGAGCAGCCGCACACATACGGCGAAGGGGATTCGCGCGTTTGCCAGCTGCAATAATTCCTCTACGGGGTCAAACAAGCGCCAAGGCTCTGGCAGCAGTATCTGTACAGCATCTTGCTTGAAATCGGCTTCAAGCAACTGCCTCGCGATCCAGGGATTTATCGCCGTGATTTCCGCAGCAAATACATCCTACTCACGGTCTACGTTGACGACCTCCTCTACATAGGGTCAAGCAATGAATTGCTTGAGCAGTTCGACATTACCTGCAACCACGACGTGAAGCAGTTCCTTGGCCTCAATATCACCTACTCGCCAGAAGCCATTCATCTCTCAGCCGCCAAGTATGCAGAAGAACTTGGCAAGCGCTTCAACATCGCACCTGCACCTCTCTCCACCCCTTACCGCACTCCAGGACCCAACCACAAGCCTGACAACAAAGCCCTGTCCGCTGCTGGGCTTTAGACTTACCAGCAACAGCTGGGTCCTGGAGCCAGCTGAGCCAGCTGGCCCAGTACTTCCGCAAACCAACAGCTGAAAATCTCTCAAATCTTCAGCGAGCACTTCAATTCTTCATCTCCACGCCCAATGCCGGGCTCTGCTACTCCACCATCCCAACCTCATACTTCAATCTTATCGGCTATGTGGACGCTGACCATGCCGCTGACCCCGACAATCGACGGTCCAGTAGCCCCATATCCTAGAATTCATAGAAGCAAGAGCTGGTTGCCCTGTCATCAGCGGAAGCCAAGTTCATCGCAGCAACAGCAGCTGTTCGCGAAGGGCTCTACCTCCAGGAGCTGCTGCAGGAGGCGAAAATTCCAGCCCTGGCGAATTTTCGCATGCACTGTGACAATCAGAGCGCGATCAGGATCGCAAACAAACCTGGTTTCGTCAACCGCACCAAGCACATCGCACTGCGATACTTCTTCGTCAAGGACGAAGTTCATCAAGGTAAGGTTGACCTAACCTACTGTCCGATGGGTGACATGGCAGCTGATTTCCTCACAAAGAAACTGCCGCGTCAGCAGTATCAGCACTACTCAAAACTCAGCGGAGTAGTCAAGCGGTTCAAGACCTGCTACGGCCAGGAGTGAAGGGGGGTGTTGCGAAAAGTGGAAAATTAATGATTTACTATGCACTCCTTACCGCAGCAATCAAAGCATGCACTACCGAGGCTGAAGGCGAAAAGGCGGAAGTATCACGAAGGGACATACAGTTACGAAACGATTTGAACCGTCGGGCAGACGGCATCAGGCAGCAAGAGTGGCGAGGATTCTGCCCGAACAGTTTCGTAACTGTCTGGAGTCGCATGGTTGGATTTCGCTGTAATAAGGAAGTGTACCCCTTAGAATATATGGGTAGCTATGTCATTTCGTATTCCCCTGTACTCTTATTTATACCATTGTATTTGTATGTTTTAAATCATCTCAAACATTTTACATTCACTCTGCTATTGAGGTCAAGGGCTCACCGCCACTACTCAAACTAGTGCGAACCTTCCTGAGGTGATCATAGGGACGATCACTTTTCGATCGCATCTTCTAACACAATGACCACCTTTACCATACCGACTTCGAGATATCGAAACTCCTATGTGGGAAATCGTACGGTCAGTGACACCAAGCAGAGGTTGATTCCAGCGCGGGCATTCTTCCCATCGGCCCTGGATGCCCTTCAAAGAGCATTCCCACATGTAGATATGATTACGTCATGCTCCTATGTGTAACTTTCACACCATGTGGTTATTATTTGCTTGGTACCCGTATGCTTGTTCTATACTCCTAGTAACACTTCATACCGGTGTGTATAAGATTTGGCTTTCCACTAGATAAAGTTTACTTGTATAAGACCCCAGGGCCTCCCCCCTGGGCCCTGCCCCTCCCCCTCCCCCCCCCCCCCCACCCCCCCCCCTTCCCCCCCACCTTGTAAAGAATGTCAGCTTCGAAATAAGAACAGAGACCTTTGTTCAAACATGCTCCGGAACGTCTTTGCAACGTCTTGGCGATGTCTTCGTCAGCTCGCAAATAAGAATTGTCTCTACATCGAACCAAGTTGTCATATCCAGCACGAAGGATTTCACGTGTGAGGTCGTACAAAGGTTGTTGAAATAGTAGTTAAGGATGTCGGCTAGGTCAAAGGGTGGGGTATAAGAGGAGTGTTGAGCAAGTTTTTGTACCCCCTAAGGATAGCCCCTACATAGCCTAGATAGATATAATCATATGACGTTTTGACACACCCTCATTGGCGAAGTGGGAGCTTGAAAGTAACTTGGATATGTGAAATCTGGGGCATTGAATGCTGCATTTATGTCTACGCACTACCGAAACCTACGTGGGCCCGGTGGACTTGAAAGCGTTATTAAATCGTATCCATGCCAAGTGTGGTGCTGGACGGTAGTGGTCCTTTCTTTGGTCAACCAGATGTTGAACAACAGCTGGCGAGGACTGTAGCATTGCTGATTAGCATTTTTCTTTGTTCACAGCTCAAACGCTGGATTCAGGGTTGTGGTTGTGGATTGGTGAAGCACGCTGACAAAGCATGGGGGGCAGCACATTGCCGGGTTCGCCGGAAACTCGGCCCATTCTGCTTCGGAACTTCCTCCCCACACTCATTGTTCCCTTCTAACAGACCAGAAATTTATGCAAACAGTCTTCTTACTTAACGGGTTTGCTATTCTTTCAGTAACGCTTCACGACCTGATGATCTGAACTGCTAAAATATGAAGTTCGGCCCTCCCAGGATTTTGATCATTTTAGCCGGGTTGGTATTTTGGCACAATTTCGCCTCAAAATTTCGAATGGACTTCGGGCGTGACGACAATAGGAGGTTAAAGCCCGCGTCCCAAATTGCGGGCCGCGAGGGTCAAGTTTTTAAAACTTGACGAAGTTGAGTGTCCAAGCTTTTGAAAGTCACGCACTTGCAATTTGGGACTTTCGAAGACAGATTCACTCCAGGGGGAAAACCGAGGGTTGGCTGGGTCTCGCGAAAAAACCGAACCTAGACGAAATCGGAAACTCTCGCCAAAGCCCACACCAGAAAAACTCCCTCTGGTCAACTTTTAAAAGCATGAACAATTTGGGCCGCCGGCTTTAAAAAAGTCTGACAGATGTTTACCCAATCGACACCTAGCTCCGGAGGTTCTGGTTGACCCGTTCCATCCCATCCCAACCCATTCCATCCCATTTCAACTTATCCCATCCCATCCCATCCAACATCCTACAATATGTGTTTTGAACCTACCACATCGTGCCTTCCAGTCTGGAGGAGTCTACGAGATATGTCCAATGAGGTGGCATGTATTTTTTGGGGGGCTTTTGGGTGAACCCAGGAGGAAATCAGACCCACCACCTCCTGAAATGAGGTGGCAGGAGGGACTGGTTTGACTGGAGGGTGGAGGAAGAGGAAAGGTCAACGTGAACTTGCGTGGCACCACTTCAAGAGCCAAGTCCAACAAGCTGATACTGAACAGAACTCGTGCTAAGGGTGCTTGTGTGGTGAATGGCCCTTGCAAAGAGGGTATTTTAACAGGCACGTTAAAGCAAGGGTACACATTCCTAGGGGTGGTTTTTGGGGGCATAGTTAGGGTACACCCTCTGCTGCCCGTTGATTTGTTGGCGAATTGTCCAAGGTTTGTTGAAGCTCGGGCGAGGTTATGAACCAAGTCTGGCGAAGCCAACCCATTTCGGACAAGCACTTGGGCGCGACTCTGTCCAATCAGAGGTGTTCAGAAGGTTGATTAGGCGGAACGAGCACGCAGCCTGGCGTAACTCACTCCTAGATAGCGCAAACAACCAATCTGAAGGAAAAACAAGTGCCCGACAATCTGAACAAGCATAGGTCCCACCCACCATCTCAAGTGAAATAGAGCTCCTCGCCACTACGACTAAGTCCACGACTTCGTGGGCAGTCCCCTACCGTAGGAGAGCACCATCGCATGCGACTGGGAAGCGGCTCGGCTAGAGCGAGTAGTCAGGGGATAACCGCCGCGTCGTTGATGCTGCGGGAAAGCCGAATCGCATTCTCGCACGAGGACGTCCCAAGCTTAGCGGTATTAGGGCGCCGTCTCCTCTCGCCTCCCCGCTAAATGCGCCATCCCGCGCAGCATCACCCCCAGGCCAAGTCAGCCCCAGTGCTGCCTTGTCTCCTCACTGCCGCCCAATCGCAATCGCGATCCCATCTCCACATCGCCACCAGGGCCCCGACTCGGGCACAGCGCGATGAAATCGCGGCTACAACCCCGGAGTGTAAGGACACATCGCCGCGGATAAGAGTACATCGCCGCGATCTCTACGCGTCGCCGCCATATCGCGAGCTCTCCGCGTCGCCGCCTCTTCGCCACCTCTTCGCCGCCATATCGCGAGCATTCCGCGAGACAAGGCATCCTCCTTGCCGCCACATCGTCTCATCGCCAGCACATCGCCGCCTCGCCTCCTCAACGCGTGCCGCCGCCAGTTCCCCGCCTTCTGCATCGCCGCCTCAATCGCCCTCGCTTCCACCACCGCGCCGGCGTTGCACTCATTTTCCTCGACCCCTTTCAACCCTCCCCCCCCCCCTCCCCCGGCGCCCCCCACCCTCCCCGTGTCCAATTACCCCACCCCGCTACACGGGCTCCATCAGCTCCCTCCATGCCCTCTATTTGGCGAGTCCCCATCCCGGAACTTTTCTTCATGCCCTCTCCCGCAGGCCGGATCTCCTCCCTTCCCCATATCCCATTGTCGTGTTCCCATTGCCCCTTCCCTCCCCTTCCTCCTTCCCCCTAACCCCGCCCTCTCTCCCCTCCTCGCCTTCCACAGGTTGCGTCGCGCCTCTTCCTCCTCCGGGTCGTGCACTACCCCGCGTCGCAGGTGCCATGGTACTGTGGTGCTCAGGGGGACATGCGCCTCATACGTGCACCCTTCTCTCATCCCCTCCACCCTCTCATCCCCTCCTCCCCACTCTCATCCCCTCCTCCCCACTCTCATCCCCTCCTCCACACTCTGATCCCCTCCTAAGTTCTCACATCCCCTCCTCCCATCGCTCCTCCACTCCTTCCATCTCTGATTCCGTCCTCCCCTCTGGGTGTCCCCTCTTCCCCTCTCTCATCCCCTCCTCCCCTCTCTCATCCCCTCCTCCCCTCTCTCATCCCCTCTTCCCCTCTCTCATCCCCTCCTCCCCTCTCTCATCCCCTCTTCCCCTCTCTCATCCCCTCCTCCCCTCTCTCATCCCCTCTTCCCCTCTCTCATCCCCTCCTCCCCTCTCTCATCCCCTCCTTCCTTCTCTAATCCCTTTGCTCCTCCACTCCTTCCATCTCTGATTCCGTCCTCCCCTCTGGGTGTCCCCTCTTCCCCTCTCTCATCCCCTCTTCCCCTCTCTCATCCCCTCCTCCCCTCTCTCATCCCCTCTTCCCCTCTCTCATCCCCTCCTCCCCTCTCTCATCCCCTCTTCCCCTCTCTCATCCCCTCCTCCCCTCTCTCATCCCCTCTTCCCCTCTCTCATCCCCTCCTCCCCTCTCTCATCCCCTCCTCCCCTCTCTCATCCCCTCTTCCCCTCTCTCATCCCCTCCTCCCCTCTCTCATCCCCTCTTCCCTCTCTCATCCCCTCCTCCCCTCTCTCATCCCCTCTTCCCCTCTCTCATCCCCTCCTCCCCTCTCTCATCCCCTCTTCCCCTCTCTCATCCCCTCCTCCCCTCTCTCATCCCTCTTCCCTCTCATCCCCTCCTCCCCTCTCTCATCCCTCCCCTCTCTCCCTCTTCCCCTCTCTCATCCCCTCCTCCCCTCTCTCATCCCCTCTTCCCCTCTCTCATCCCCTCCTCCCCTCTCTCATCCCCTCTTCCCCTCTCTCATCCCCTCCTCCCCTCTCTCATCCCCTCTTCCCCTCTCTCATCCCCTCCTCCCCTCTCTCATCCCCTCCTTCCTTCTCTAATCCCTTTGCTCCTCCACTCCTTCCATCTCTGAGACCGTTCTACCCTCTATTATCCCTTCCTCCCCGGTCCCATCCCCTCCTCCCCTCTCTCCTCCCCTCCTCCCCTCTTTCATCCCGTCCTCCCCTCTATCATCTCCTCCCTCCTTCTCTCATCCCGTCCTCCCCTCTCTCATCCCGTCCAATGGGCCAATGAGCAATGAGAGACGGCAATCTCAAGGCCAATGGGCGGGACGTAAGGCAGTTGAGAAGCAGGTGCGTGGGTGGGGCAGAAAACATGCGGGCAGAAACCAGGTGGGTAGGGGGGAGAGCACCCGAGGAGAGAAGGAAAGGTGAAATATGTTTTATTTTGTGTTCCACGAAGCCCACAGTATGCAAGCACCTCCGAGTGCATGGTGCAGGTCACGGGGCTCACTGCCATCCGTTCCTCCTCTCATTCATCACATCCTCCCTCTCATCCTTTCCTCCCATCTCTCATCTGTCCCTCTCCTCTCCCATCCTCTCCCCCACTATCCTCCTCTCTCCCCCCTGTCCCCCTCTCTCACTATGTCCTCATCTCTCACCTGGTCCTCCTCTCTCCCACCTCCCGCCCCTGCTCCCTCCTAGGTGGAAGGCGTGGGCGCGAGGCGGTGCAGAGCGGTGCAGGAGGGTGCCGCCGGGAATGCACGTGAGTGAGGACGGGCAGGCGGGGACCCCTTGTCCCCCCGGCACGTTCAGTGAGGGCGGGCGCATGGGGGGGATGGGCGCATGGTGATGGGCACATAGGATGCCTGCATGGGGGGGTTGGGCGCATGGGGTTGGGCGCATGGGGTTGGGAGAATGGGGATGGGAGAATGTGTTCATGCTGCCATGACTCGAGAGATCTGCAGGCATGCTGGCCACAGCGGTGTCCACCACATGCCCACTCAACCCACCTCCACCACGGACCTCCCTCCTGTGTGTTTTGCTGCTGCATGGCCTTCCCTTCATGGCATGGCATGGCTTGACATGGAATGGGATGGCATGGTGGCACGCATGGCAGGGAGCGGAATGGTCACCGCTGATCGGTATGGCACGGGCACCACGTTATTTCCAGGAAGCAGTGAGTGTTTCGTGGCCGATGCATGAGTGCCCCCCTATCTCCTCCCTGTCCACCTCTCTCGGAGGTGTCCTCCTCTCCCCCCTCCTGTCCTCTCTCTCGTCGTATCGCACCCTACTTGCCCTGCGAGGCACATGTTTCCGCCATGTTTCACTCCCATCCCGTCCTCCCCTCTCGCATCCCCTCTCCCCTCTCTCTCTCTCTCATGTTGCTGGCACCTGAGCCATCCAATGCCCGCAGCTTCTGGTCGCATTTTCTCCCCTCCTCGCTTTCCCACGCCTCCACATCCCTTCCATTCACACCACTCTCTGTAGACTCATTGTCCCCTGTAACTACAACCACACCACAACGTCTCCCCTCACCCTTTCCCCTCTCCCGCATTCCTTCATCTCCTCCCCCCCCACCCGTGGCCAGGCCTTCACAATTGCCAACGAGCCGCTGCTCGACCTGACCCCAGACCAAGTGAACCTGCACGGGGGAGCAGTGACCCTAAGCCACACCATAGGCGCATCAGGGGCGCGCTTGTGCTCATGTCGCTGCTCTCCTGCCTCGCTGCCATGGGTTTGAAGCGCGGCGTCACAGCGATGTGCATCGGTGGCGGCAGTGCCACGGCAGTGGTGGTGGGGCGAGAGGAGGGGTTCCAGCTGGAGGGACACAGGCCGGGGCACTGGTAGCAGCAGGAGGTGCAGGCCAAGGAGTGAAGCGCCGTGCGCTGATGGCGTGGCCTGGTAGCGTGGAATGGGGTAGTGGTGTGGGCTGTCTAGTGTGGTGTCGAGTCTTAGCTGCAGGCTGTAGGCATAGAGCTGTGTTTACATCGGCTGTTGTGTGTTGAGAGGGTGTGGCGACTGATTCTGAACCTCGGTTGTACAATAGTCAATGTTTGGCCGCATCTAGCACTTCTGTAGGTGTGTAGCATGGAGGGATGCTCTTAGAATGTGTAATTATATTGAACAAACTCAACCAGAATGACAAGGGCCAAATCACCATTGTTGAATCCATACTGAAAGGTGCTACAACTACGGTACCAAAGAATGGAACAAAGCAGTTCACAGGTAAGGCAGGTACCGCACACGCAAGTACGGTAGTCAGCAATTTTCTCATGCAGGAATCTCCTGGATCCCGTTCCCCTGTGCAGCTCCCGCACTTCCTTCCCTCGGCCACATGCTGTCGTGCTCCATCCTGCATGATTAACCCTTCCTCCCACAACCAGACTTTACATGGGAACTGGGCCCCTTCCTCATCCACCTCCCCCTTCACACTCACGCCCTTCTCCCCATGCGGTTGATGCTCAACACGACCACACTGCACTAGAGCAATCATCCTTGTCAGAAAACCAGCATCGATGACAGCAGCCATCAACAAATCACACCATCAAGAGCCATGCCATAATATGACATCATGCCATGCCAAGGCACACTACACCACACCACACCACGCCACACCAGGCCATATCGCCCTGCACCATCTCACGCCACACCTCACCACATCACGCCAAACCGCGGGCTCAGTCGAGCGCCCAGAGTCAGCGCGGATCATATGTGAGGAAGAAGAGCAGCGCCACGTCCGCCGCGAACCACGACCACTGCGGGATGTCCCCCAGAGAACGGCTGCAGCCGCCGCTGGCTGCGCAGAAACGCGCGCTTCTCGTGCTCGATTTAGGACAGGGCGGAGAGAGGGGATAGGACAAGGCGGAGAGGGGGGAATAGGACAAGGCGGAGAGGGGGGAATAGGACAAGGCGGAGAGGGGGGGATAGGACAAGGCGGAGAGGGGGGGATAGGACAAGGCGGAGAGGGGGGGATAGGACAAGGCGGAGAGGGGGGGATAGGACAGGGCGGAGAGGGGGGGATAGGACAGGGCGGAGGGGGGGATAGGACAGGGCGAAGAGAGGGGGATAGGAGGCGGAGAGGAGTTGGACGGAGAGGGGAGAGAGGACCGGGAAGGGGGGTAGGACAGAGGTGGGAGATAGAACAGGGAAGGGAGATAGAACAGGGAAGAGCGACAGAACGAGGGGAGTTAGGAATGAGAGGAGAGGACAGGGGACAGAGAGGGGATATATGACACGGAGGGTGGATAAAAACAGGTGCGGAACACAGGAGAAGGGGGCGGAGAGAACTGGCCGTCATCTGCGACCCCCTTCTCCCCCCTGGCCACGCGCACCTGGTTGAGCAGCAGCTTCTCCGCTGTCCAGCGCAGGTAGATCTGCGCGTTCTCCCGCTGGCGAAGGCGCGCAAGGACGGTGCGGTGCTTGAGCGCGGGCGTGGCGCAGTCTAAGACGATGAGCGGGCGGACGCGCAGAAAGAGCAGCTTGCACACGCGCCGCAGGAAGCCCAGCACGTGCGCGCCCGGCAGCAGCTCGCCGCGCATGGCCTTGAGAAGCTGCAATACCTAGATGCTCGCGTCTGTCCATGTGTCGCCGCGGGGGGATTGGGGCGGGAAGAGGCGTGATGGGGAAGGCGCAAGGTTAGAACAGGCGACTGCGCCATTGGCAGCCATTGATCCGGAACGGAGAGAGGGGCGTGTGCCAAGATGTGCATCAATGCTGCAATGAATAGTTCGATGTTACTCTACCTCAACAGCGCGACGCCGAGGGGAAGGGCGTTGCGATGCCGAAGGGAGAAGCGAGTCACTGCGGGGGCAAGGGGAGAGGCGCCGCGATGGTGGGAAGGGAGGCGATTCGCTGAGGGAGAGCGTCCAGGGGGTGGATAGAGCGCATGTAGGTCTGAGCGCGGAGCAAGGGAGAGAGCGGTGCTGGTTGCAAAGGCGAGCAACCGAGAAACTGCCGAATGGACAGCAGAGACGAAATGTGAGAACTACGTATTCGGCGCGATTTGTGTGTGCCGAACTCGTCCGCCCGATACGAAAGGCGCGTGCTGCGTGCGCCGTCGCGGCGAACTGCGCGCCTAAGTTGCACGGCGATGTCGCAGGCGTAAAACGCATCCATTGCGGGCGAGATAAACAACGGGCGGGCGCGATAGATTCAGTGGCGTAACCCTAAGCCTCGCTTTTGACGACGCTGTGCTACTCTCGCTGTCTGGTTTATCGATTGCGTGCACTGATGCTCTGTTGTTGGCGGTGCGCTGGAGTTGTGGTTGCTAGCAATATGTGTCAGGGTACGAGAGTCGAGCTTGTCATGGTTCACTAACTGCCTGGTTGTGACTCAAGTTCCCAACTCCCATTTGGCCCATCGCAATTGACGAGAGGGGAGAGACAGCCCGCGCAAGTCCGCCAACGCTAAAGTTTGTTTCGCGTCGGACTCCCCAGACAAACACGGTAACCACGTGGATGCAAGTGATAAACCTTTGCCTCCACCCCCTCCAAAGTGCACCCTTGCTTTAAGGCGACTGACTGCGCATGAAGAACTCGAAGGAGTACAGTATTAACTTCAAAGCTACATGAGCTGGAAGACGGTATCAGTAACGACGTTTTACAGTTGGCCTTAGTCGTGCTACGGTATGTACTGGTCGCGCAATTTATTTATCCGATCCCTTGAGCGGTTCACATATGGATGACCTAATGTCCATTTCGTCACGCTTCACAGAAGTAACGTAACGAGGCCTCACTCCAAACGTGCAACGAAGCCTGCAACTACAATTGGCCAATCGTGTGGCGGGAGGTGGTGGCTAGTTACGATTCGCACGACCCTAGGCGAAAGGCGGTGTCCCACTTTAGGAAGACACGAACCTGTTCGCCTCCCTGAATCACGCGATTGAACATCGAAGCGACTGCCCTAGAAGGTGCAACGCCTCCGAACCGAACCATGCGAACCGCAACGTGTCGCGGAGCTCGTCCCAGCGTTGCTGGATCTTATCAGCGGGCTAGTTCCGGACTACACTCCAACCGCCCGCCTGCAACTGCAGTCTTGCTGAGTGTAAACCACAAATAAAGTTAACCTTGGATTAGATCATGAGGTCTGTTTCTAATCCCACTTGCACAAGTCCAGATTAGATTGATCAGATCTGAGAACAGTTCACTCTGCAGAAAATTTAATGCAGCCAATCACATACATTTTGCAGTCTTCGATCCCATCCTTCCCCTACTCTACCAGATTGAGTGAACACTGAATATTGAGCTATAAGAGGATAATCAAGATAATACATTCCTTCATTTTTAAGACACGTATGAATTCTGGATATTTGAACACCGAATCGTAGCTCTTTTCTTCGCAAATCGGATCAAGTCGACAATTTATATGTTATCCACATATTATATTTATGTCAACCGATAGGCTTTACGTGTACAAAATATTTTGTACGAGACTTATATGAGCTCCCAAAGTATCAAGTCTCTCCCAAAAGTGGTTTTGTTACATTGCATCTGATGGCTTTCCAATAAATAACGACTAGCATGTGGTTACAACAAAATGGTTAGAATGACATTGTGTTCATAATCAAGAACTGAATATAGGCAAAGAGCCCCGTCTATAAGCGAATGCGCCTACTTGAGGCCTTTGGATATATCAAGGAGGAGATGATACGAGTGTCAGTCTTGATGCGGCGAGCTTTGGGTCAGGCAAAGACGGCATCACACTAACGAGATTCCAGTGCAGCGTTTCTAAACAGTGTATAGCCACCACCAATTTCCCGATTTTGCTTTGATACACCTGATGCCTGTTTCAGTCCCCTTCCCCATCTTTCCTTGTGCTCCTCTCTCGAGCACGCGCTCCCCATGGGGAGAATGGGACTCTATTTGGGTAGCCTAGCGTGTCTTGTCTGGGAAACTCGAATAACTTATTCGAGGTCAAGAATATCTTAGTTTTGTCGTGGGCTTGTAACGCGCGGGCCGTTGGCTGTGAATGTCGACCACTGGGCGTATGGAGTGGCAGTGGGCGTGTTCAGAGTGGGCGGTTGAGTGAGCATTAGGGTGTAAGTGAATGGCGCTCATTCTGTTCGTTTGGTGAACGCAAGAATGGTTGTCTTTCAAGGCAACGTCAAGCCTGCGTTCGCTCTACTGCACCTACAGACGCAGCGCACGGAACATGTGTTTCACCGCAGAAAGGGCCTCTGCTTTGGAGCTGGCATACTGGATAGTCCATGTGTAGTTGCTTTCGTAGTCCATGCTGGATTCAAACTCTGCAGACCTTCAATTTCCAGATTGAATCTGGCCAGGATTGGGACAGTACTCTACCGTGTTGACTACTCCTAGCGAGCCGTTCTCAGGGCGCCTAGTATGATGCTCCGCCTAGTGAGCGAGATATCTAAATGCACTTACCCCTTCTCACGTACACGTACACAATGCGAGCTTCGCAAGCCCTAGCAGAGCCACATTCTTGTCACCGACGGGAGTAGTAGAATATCACTTGTTGGGAACTAGTAGTACTGAGTTCACCTGCAACTACAACTAGTGTTCTCCAGTGTGCCGCATCCTCAGCCGCTCGCACCATTTGACGCCACCATCTTTGTCAACCTCCCCACACCCTCCTTCCGTTTGAGTAGTAATACTACTACTCAATAAAGTCGGAGTTCTCGTGGCACCGCCGACGAGGTTAGTACTATTACTATTACGCCATGGCTACATTTCAAGGCGGTTCTCCGTCTGATGCTACGCCTACGAGCTCTGATTGTAACGGTGGCACTGCTGCTCAAACGCTCGGAGCCGCGGTGGGACCCGCCGTAAATCATCAGCTAACTTTACGCGCCAAGGGCCTCCTCACACAAGAGGATTATGTAGCGCTGGCCGCAGCGCGGCGACGCGGGATTCATGTCGCTACCACCGGCGCCATCGCGTCGGTACCTGGCTCGCCGGGAGCGGGAACTAGTAGTACTACAATCAGCCCCTCAGCCTCAAGCGGCTCCGCGGAATCCGCTAGTACTAGCTCCGACGCTGCCGCCGCCGCCGCCGCTTCTCGCCGGTTGCTACAACCGCGCCGCCATTCCCTCGAGATGTTTCATCCAAGGATGTTGCCGTTGCCCCTCTCTGCGTCGACGCCTGCCGCGGTTTCCGCCTCCGTCGACGGCGCCGCCGCAGACGAAGATACGATCGCGATTTCAGACGCAGAATCTCTCAGTTGCATGGTGATCTGCAGCGCTATTTCTAGTAGCACACCTGAACCACTTGCTACTACGAGCCATGGCTGCTTTCTCGACGAGTTACTCGACGATGTTCTGGTCAATGTCCTCGCCGCGCTTGGCTCTGCGCAACTCGTGGCAGCGGCCGGCGCGGTCTGCCGTAGATGGCGCCGACTCGTGCCGTTCGTCCCCTCGCTCGCCTTCGCCCGCCTCTCGCTCGCTCCTGCTAAAATCGAAGAGGTGGTATCGCGTATGGTGATGCGCTCGCACGGCCTGTCGTCTCTCCACGTGGAGTCCGTGAATTGCGGCGGGAGTCACGGCAGCGTCAGCGGCGCCAGCAGCGCGCATCCCCGCGAGTTCATTGTCGAGGCGTGGGCCCGCCACGCTGGCTGCACCCTCCGACACGTCACCCTCATGCACCACAAGGCCGTCACTGCCGCCGGATACTCCGCCGCGAATTCCGCTGGGAGCTCCGACGTTCCCAGCTGCACGGTCTACGCGGGCGGTCCGGACCTGAGCGCCCATCTGCAGCATCTCGCGTCACATTGCCCCAACCTCTCCTCGATGCGTCTCGGCTCGTGCACCCTCCCGCCACATTCCCTCCGCGGATACTCTGTCTTTCCGCATCTGCGCACGCTTTCCCTTGAGTGGCTCAACCTGTCCGATTCCACGCTCCAATCTCTGCTCGACGCGTGCCCCAATCTCCACCACCTCGCCATCTTCATGGCGGCGGGTCTCGCCGCACAAGCCGCCTCCTATCCCGCCGGCTATAACGCTGCCCAACAAGCCGCCGACAGAGCGCGGGCAGCAGCTTCCGCGGCGACGGGACAGCGCTGGGGGCTGTGCTTGCGCCTGCCCCCGCGATTGGAGTATATTGAGCTCGCTTATTTGCGCATCTCCGCCGTTACGCTTATCTGCAGCGAGGCTACCTGTACCGAGGACACGAGCGTGCTTGGCGGCGGCGGCGGCGGCGGTGGCGGCGGAAGCGGCGGCCTCCGCGAGGTGTCGGTTCGAGACATGTTCCTCACCGCGCTCTCCCTCCCCAACGCGCGCGCGCTCCGATCGCTCTCCGTCGCCACCGCCTCCGCGCTGCGCCTCTCCGCGCCCGCTTCCGCCGCCCTCGCGTCGCTCGAGGTCCGCGCGGGAAGCGTCCACTGGCCGTCGCTCGAGTCGCTCGTTGCGGGCGCGGGCGCGTCGCTCACGCTCCTCGCGCTGGATCTCTTCACCGTGGAATGCGGCGGCTCTGGCGCTCCGCGCAGCGGCGCGGCGGCCGATCCCTCGCGGGAGGCGGCGGCGCACGACGGGGTTGACGGGACGCGGGGAGTCACGGCAATAACAACCGCCGCGGGAAGCGGAAGTCTCGATATGCTGAACTTGGATTGGCTAACGGGTCATTGCCCTAATCTCTCCTCGCTTTCCCTGGGGCCTCTACCTTGGGAGTGCCTTATCCGCGGCGGTTGCATCACCGCCCCTGCTTGGTCGCCTGGGTCGGGTTCGGACGCGGGAGGTTCGGCAGACGATTGGTTGACGCTGGGTCAGGTGATGAACCCGGTTGATGTGGACGCTTGGCCGAGCCAGCTGGAGAATCTTTCAGTAAAGCTTCGGAGAAGAAGCGGGGCTACACTGCTTTGGATTGGTGCGTTTATGCGACAATGTGCGGGTAGTTTGAAGAGTGTGGAGGTGTTGTGTATGGAGGATGAGGAGGAGGAAGATGAGGACGAGGAGGGGGAAGAGGAGGAAAAGGAGGAAGATGATGAGGAGTCCAGTGAGTGTGGAAGTGAGATTCAGGATGACGAGGAGCAGCAAGAGGGGATGGAGTCTGAGGATGAAGGGTCTGCTGAAGAGTGGAACGGGGAGGAAAGAGAAGAGGATTTGGAGTTAACTGCCCGTACCGTACTGACTTCCAGTTTCCCTCCTACACTCAGTGATGCCAGGCAGAAGTTGATTGCAGGGCGTCTATTCTTCTCCTCTGCTTTGGATGCTCTTCAACGAGCGTTCCCACATGTAGGCGTAGCAGCGTCATGCTGCTATGCGTAGCATTCAGATCTTCAGTAATACGGTACGGTAATTTATTCTTGCTATATTCATTCTTTCATTTATTCATTTATTTTTTGTTCAATTTATGGGGGTTTTAAAGCTCGAGTACAGCATGGTTTTTTTAAGTTCAAGATTCTTGAACTTGAATTCGTAAAAAGCAGGGTTACCCTATTTGTCTGTCTAAAACTCTCGCGACCCTGGGACAACGCCGAGCGACACTCTCCTCATTGGCTTTTAAGCAGAGTCGCAAAACAGAACCGAACGGCGCCCAGGTTGGCCCGCTGTTTGGCTCTCACATATCTTGAACACCTAGTCGTACTCATGATCCGCCTACTCCCTCACGTATGTAGACAGCCAGTGAGCCTTGCACTAATTTTAGGGACCGCGATATTTACAGCAACTTCCAAGGCACACGGTGCAGTCTCGCCAATAGCTGGGCAGCAGGCGCCTAGTGTCACCCGATATTTACATACGTTGTCGCGTTACTCAGACGGAACGTGTGAATCAAACGAATGCTTCACCATGCTACCCCACGTTTAGCGCGCGTCGTCACCCGCGCTCCCCCGCGCCCGCCCTCGTCACTCGCGCCTGCCCGAGTCACTCGCGCCTGTCCACGTCACTCACGCTTGCCCAGGATTCCGTGCTTCACCTCGTCATCCGTTTCCCCTCGTCGCGCGCATTTCCGCTAGTCGCACACGCGCCTTCGCGTCACGCTCGCTTCCCCGAGATGCGCCTGTCAAACTATATATGTGTTAGTTCTGTGTAGGCTATAGTGGGGTAGCCCATATGGGGTACAACCCAGAGTTAGGGTTAGTACTTGTACCCACATTTCATTCAATGCAACTATTCCTGCTTGCTATCTTGACATGGTTTCAGAGCAGTAGTTCCGTAGGACCGTTTTTCTTTCGGGCCCACCATATTTAGCTTCCGACTGCGGTTACCGCGTTACCCCATTACCCTGCGTCTCGCTGCCCCGCGCACGCCCTGCCTTGCCCCGCGTCGCGCTGCCTCGCGCACCCCCTGCCCTGCCCTGCCTGGCGTAACCCTGCACCAGCGCCCTGCCCTGCACCAGCGCCTTGCCCTGCGCCGGCGCCCTGCCCTGCGCCGGCGCCCTGCCCTGCGCCAGCGCCCTGCCCTGCGCCGACGCCCTGCCCTGCGCCAGCGCCCTGCCCTCCGCCAGTGCACTGCCCTGCGCCGGCGCCCTGCCCTGCGCCGGCGCCCTGCCCTACGCCAGTTCCCTGCCCTGCGCCAGCGCCCTGCCCTGCGCCAGCACCCTGCCCTACGCCTGCGCCCTACCCTACGCCCGTGCTGCAGCCCTGCGCGTCGCGCCCAACGGCAACCCGCGCATCGCGCGCTGCTGCCCCATGCGTCGCGCTCTGCTGCAGCCTGCGCGTCGCACCCCAAGGCAGCCCACGAGTCGCGCACTGCTGCCTCGCGCGTCGCGCTCTGCTGCAGCCTGCGCGTCGCGCCCTAAGGCAGCCAGTCGCGTCGCGCTCTGCTGCCCTTGGCGTCACGCACTGCTGCAGCCTGCGCCAGCGCCCTGCCCTGCGCCAGTGCCATCGCCCTGCTAAACCCTAAATAAAATAATAATTAAAAAAAAGGTCCTAGGTGCTTTTGCCCTAGGAGCTACTACTTGCTGCTGCTTGCTATTGCCCTGCTGTGGCCGCGCGCCGCCCTGCTCTGGCTGCACGCCGCCCTGCTCTGGCCGCGCGCCGCCCTGCTGCTACTCGTGCTACTACCTTCACTCCGTACTGCCCTAGAGGTCGAGCTGTGAGAATAATAACGAGGAATGAATGAACTAGCAAGCAGGTGGGTACAAGTATGAAAACCTAAAGAGTTGTACCCCATATTGTCTACCCCACTCCAGCATAGAATATAGTTCTGACACACCCCCATAGGCAAAGTTGGGGACAAGCAAGAGAACAACGCAAGGTCAAGCTCAGGGTGGATCACAACGTCACCACACATTCTGAGCACCAGTTCAAGGCCACAAGGCCAGTTCACATGCAGGATTATAAAGCAAGGTGAACAAGCAAGACAATGATCTCAACCTAGCAAGGGTAAGCATGTAGGTGCAGGTATATATAGATCACAGTACAAACAAAGTCAAGAGGTAAGCAAGTGAGGCCCGGTAGGCACAAGACCTAGCATAGTACAGAAACGCTGATGACCACAAGGCTGAAGTGCCTTGGTAAAGATATCAGCAGTGTTGGCCCAAGTGGCTACGTAAGCAAGACGAAGCTGACCACGCTGCTGCAACTCTCGAGCAAGGAAGTAGCGCAGAGCAATGTGCTTCGTTCTGTGCTCCTAACACAAGGCCAGCATGGCCTTGTTGTCGACGTACAGAACTGGAGGAGAACGAGGCGGCTCTCCCAAGTTGGTCAACAGGTAGGTGAGCCAGCGTAACTCCTCTGCAGCCATGGCCCCAGCGTAGATCTCAGCCTCACAACTGGAGCTGAGAACAGAGGAAGAGCGGGTAGACCGCCACGAAACAGAGCCGGAACCAAGGCAAAAGGTGTAACCCTCTGACGACCGCTGCGTAGCCAAGTCGTCAACCCAAGAAGTGTTTGCGTGACCAGTGAGGACAACTCGAGCGCGTCCTCCAAGCACGAGCCTACTGCACAGTTAGCGCAACACCGTCTTAGCTGTAGCCATGTGCTCTGGTCGGTGTCTCCCAGGAGCAACATAGCGTGCCAAGATGCTAAGAGGGTATGCCAGGTCAGGTCGAGTGCAGGTCGGGTACATGAGGCAGCCAACAAGCTCTGGGTACGGGCCGCTCGGCTCTACGGACTCATCCAAAGGCAGAGCTGAGAGCGAGTGGGGAGTAGATAGAGGAGAGGCCTGAGGCGAGGAGTACGTGAAGTTGAAGCGCTGAAGGACCTGCTGCACCATGTGTGACTGGGTCAAGGTAATGGTGCGCCGTGCTTTGTCCCGGGTGATCTGCAAGCCAAGATAGCTGCGCAGTTCACCCAGGTCTGTGCACGTGTGTCTCCTCTGCAGCTCCGACTTCACGTGGGCGAGTCCCTAAGTGTCAGCAGTGGCAAAGACCAAGTCGTCGACGTACACGAGGATGTAGAACGGCGGCAACGAAGTGTCGGTGCGCAGGAACAGCGACGGGTCAGCAGTAGAAGGAGCAAACCCAAGAGCCGCAAGCGTAGTCCTCAGTGTGTCGTGCCACTCACGGGGCGCCTGGCGGAGACCGTAGATTGGCCGCCAGAGGCTCCACTGGGTACCAGGAGGAAACGACCCAGTGAAGCCAGGTGGGCGGCGCAGCCAGATCTCCTCGTGCAGGCTGCCCTGCAAGAAAGCAGTGCTGAAGTCAAGAGAGTGAAGCTCGTAGTCACGGTGAGCGGCTATGTGCAGCAGTACCCGAAGAGTGGTCATCTTCGGGGTGGGAGAGAAGGTATGAAAGTAGTCAACTCCCTGCCGCTGACTGAAGCCACGAGCCACGTAGCGCGCCTTGAAGACAGGCGGAGAACCCGGCGGCCGCTTCACCCTGAAGATCCACATGCCACTAACGATGTTCGCCCCAGGATGGGGAACCTCGTCAACGTAGGTGCCCGTGGACTTCCAGGATGCCATCTCTGCGTCCATGGCTGACTGCCACTGAGAGGAGTAGGGACCCTCTATCGCCTCTGCGTAAGAGCGCGGGGTCGGGATGTCTGGTGCATCCGGGTCTCCCTCAGGTGCAATCAGCATGGACACGAGATGAGGTACAGCGGTTGCAAAGCACTCAAAGTCCTCCTGCCTGTCCTCAAGGACGTTCGTGCCAAAATCACACTCATCCTCGACGGACGGAGGACACACAGACTCAGACCTAGCAACAAGACTAGCGGCGTAGTCGAGACGACAGTGAGCAGCAAAGGCGACAAGCTCAGCAACTAAGGCAGACGCAGCAGTGGACTCAAAGGAAGAGTCAGTGACAACAGTGGCCAGGAGACGCGTGACAGTAGGACTAGCAGCACGAAGGGAGTCAGACTCGGGGTCAGAAGGGGCAGGAAGAGAGGACGCAGGAGGAGACGGCAGAGCGACACGCTGCGGAGCAGTGGAAGGGCGCAGAGCCATCCAGTGCGTGCCAGGGACAGGAGGAGGACGCTGACGCGAACCACGACGACTAGTGCTAGCAGCACGAATAGGTGACGCAGGAGGAGACGCAGGCTCACGATGCTCAGCAGGACATCCGGTCGGACTTGTGTAAGGAGAAGGAGCTGGCACTGGGGAGGCGGGCAGTAACTGTGACTGCGACTGGACAGGCGGTGGACACCCTAAGGAAGGAGCAGGACCAGTAGAAGGCGGAAGACCAAGAACCTGCTGAAGGAGCGGAACGTAGTACGGCCGCGGCCGCGCAGCGCCTCCAGAACCAGCAGGGATAGAACCAGCACCCCCAGTGGCAGTTCCAACTCCAGCAGTACCACCAGCTCTAGCAGCACCTCCAGCAGCACCAAAAGCGCCAGCTTCAGCTCCCACAGGAGCACCGGCTCCAGCAGCACCTCCAGCTCCAGCACCTCCAGCAGCTCCAGATCCAGCAGGACCACCAGAAGCCCCAGCAGTGCCTGCCCTAGCAGCACCGCCAGCTCCTGCACCTTGAGCAGCTCCAGCTCCAGCAGCACCACCAGGCCCAGCAGCTCCAGTACCTCCAGTACGAGCACTTCCGGGACCCGTGGCCCCAGAACCCCCAGCAGCTCCAGCAGCAGCAAGACCTCCAGCAGAAGCAGGGCCTCCAGCCCCCGGAGAACCACCAGCTCCAGCAGCACGGCTCCAGCGCCGAGCAAACCACTCGCGCAGCTGCTGTGGAGAGAGTGGCTCCCGCCGGGACGAAGCACCCGAAGGACCTCCAGGCTCAGCACTGCCAGACTCCATACGAGTAGGCCCAGCACCCTCAGGCTCCGCACCCCCAGACTCAGCAACCCCAGGCTCAGCACCCCCAGACTCAGCAGCCCCAGGCTCAGCACCCCCAGACTCAGCACCCCCAGGCTTAGCACCCCCAGACTCAGCACCCC